TTTTTTCTTCATCTAAAACAGTGGTCTAAATGATAAAGAAAGTAGATTCTCTATTTGTTTTCCAGACAGACCATGGATCCAGGGGAAAAGATAAAACTGTTAAGGCAACAGTCTTGAAGTAAGGCTTTCCTTTTCACATGCATACTAGAATCCTTCAAGAAGACAATGAGGTGAGCCATAAGAAGCTTTGAGGCATATAAATATAGTATAAGAGTATAGTGTACTTTTTTTCAGTATTTAAGTGTAATTTCAATGTAAGTTTTCAGTACATGAGTGATTTTGTTCTTGCTAATTTTATAGGTGAAGGGAGAGAGGGAGGAAGATTCTAAAATTAACTCAGAAAAAAAAAGCTGTAAAGTAAAAAGAATTTTACCTTTCACCTGTGGAAATGCATTCCCAATGCATAGTTTGGGTTTTTTTTTGCCTGTTTTAAATAGTCTTCTGTGAATTGACCTGGATGAAGTAACCATTAGCCTTGAGTATATGCTCCGCATGTCTGTATGTCTTGGTGGAATGAAGTTGCTGAGTGAAGGAAGGATTCTGCCAAACTGATGAAATCTCATTGCAGTTTCCTGGTTACTTAGGAATTAAGAAACCTACAGACTGCTTAAAATATAAATAAAAATTGGACAAATGCTCAGTGTAAATGCTTATTGTTTAAGTTGAAGACATCTAGAATATTGGTCACTCACTGTAGTGGTCAGGAGGAACTTCAGCAAGGTCATTGTCCCTCTGACTCTCAGGCTGGAAATAGTATATACTTCGACATCAAGAAATGCTGAAGGCACTAATGTAAGAGGCACAAAGATTTCACTGTAAGCCAGAAGGAGAATATCCCTTGAAAAAAGTAATCTAACTGGGTAGGCAGCTAAGATTATGGGGTATGGCTTGCCTTTTCTTAATGCTTTATGGAAACCCAGCAAAAGTAACCAATGGGGAAAGTACAGTCTGTTATGGACATCCATTATAAGTTGTAGTGGGTGCTTTGTTTTACAGCTTAGGAAGTAACACCAGCCCTCCAGATTTTGAAACTGGTGAAATCTGTCTTAAAATACGGAGTCTCCCTGCCCACAGACCAGTACAGCAATTAGGTCTTTCCAGAGCTGCACCTGGTCGCTTGGAGCACAGGCAGGACAGAGCCACTTTGCTAGGTGTATGGTGAAATCTGGTGTAAAAGGAGGTAAGCATTCTTCCCATCATGAAATGATCAATTAAGGCGAGCTGTGATAAATTCATGCAACAAGATGAGTTGCTAGACTCTGAGACACATTAGGGCTGCAGAAGTGTTTGAGATGATAGCTATCTATCTGAGCCATTTGGCATGATGCCTCCAGTTCCAAAAATACCATTTCCTATCAGCTAACGGCTCATGTGTCACTGCTGTTCCAGCTGATGAATGTGCAAATCACTAGTTGGATGATTTGGAATTAGCTGTGGGTAGTGGGTGGGAAGAATTGAATAAGAAGAGTAGGACAGATAACAACTGCACAGCAATAAGAAATAATTTCCTCCTCCTCTTTTAGCTTCACTACTCATTGCTGTCTCTATGAAGACAGTTCTGGCTTTTTGATTCTTCCTGCTGTAATTTTTAGCATTTTTATTGGTATGTACAATATACCAATACACAGGTGAGAATCAATGGCGGAAAAAATTAGCATCTGAAAGAGAAAAAAAATTATCAAAGTGCCTGAGGTGTTGTAATCTATAGCTGTACTTCTTGATTAGAAAGTAACATTAAAATTGTGTGGTGTACTTCAGTTCCACATTACTGCTTGAAATGGACACAATGTAAACTAGCTGCAAGTTTTCATACACTTATTCTTGGAAAAATCACTGTAAAAAAAGAAGCTGTCAATATGTGAGGCATCAGGCCCGGAGCACTGAGGCGACTAAATTAAGCAGACTAATATTTTTATAAATTCTTAACTATCTTGAAAACGTTGCCCTCAATGCTGGAAAAGGTTGTCCATCAAATTCTAATTGAAGAGAGAGAATAAGTGGTTTGACTTTAGATCTTCCTGGGAAAAGGAATATCTAAAGTTAAAGTTTACAAAAGTAAAGTTAAGGTAAAAGGAAAATCCTGGTTAGATGAGCAAAGCCTCACAATCTTTTCTATAACTTCAAACAGGAAGGAGTGTAATGTGAAGACACTTGATTTTGTGGTTTTATGTACATATCCAAATTCTGCCTTTCTCTGTTTCCTTCCCGTCCTTAGAAGTATAAAGAGAAGTACTAACAAAAAGAAGTAATTGAAAAAATGTAAGTTTTGAAAATGAAATTATCTTAGAAGAAAATGGTCCAAAATGCTAAAAGGTGGTTCTTGCATTTCTCATGGGGCAGTGCACAGAACTGTTTTTCTTTCAATTTGCAAAAGAGTATCTGGAGGTTAATAAGGATATTCTTACTGCTACAGAAGGATATGACACATATATATATGCAGACCACATTATCTAAATGTCTAGAATAATTGCATTTTGAATGATGCAGAGCCTAGGAAGTTTATCTTCCCTTATCTCTGGGTTTTCAGAGGATGCCAAGGACAGAGCAGTGAAGTAGAGAGAGTAAACCAAGCAAATAGGAATAAGCAGAGGAATGCATTCTGGAACCTGCCAGCCTGTGGCTGCTCACCTTCCATATAAATAATTTTTTTGCACATAACCCCAGAATAGAATATATTTCACTGTAGAATATGTCCTCTGCTGTCAATAAAAGAGCAGAAGCCAGTGATGTCTGCAGATTCTTTCTTGGTTAGGACCATGGCAAATAGAACTATATACTTCCAGCTTCTGTTTATGAAAGCACCCAGAAAACAAAGGCAGTATGAAGAGACTTAGCAGAATCAGTCTTCCAAGGAAGGTTCTGATGGGATTGTATGATTTTAGCAAGAATGGATAGCCATGAGCAGAAGTATAAGAAAAGTATATACTCATCATCAAAAATGGGAACATTCCACTTCCACACTTACTCCCAGGACATTCACTCAAGTACACAACTGCTAAATAAACCTCACTTGAGCTTTTCAAGACCTAATGGTGGAAGGTACCTTCTTGTGCCTCATCTGTTTCAATACTCCCACCAAAATCAATCGATTGTGCAGAGGGTTTGCAGGATCAGGCCGCTAAAGGATAACTTTCAATTCTTTTATTTAGTTTTGAATTTTTTCTAATATTCGTTCAAAATATGGCTGAAGGTGGTTGTTAGAGTAGACTAATTCATAAATAGAGGCCAGGATATTCAATTCAATCGCTTTCTTGCACTGATGAAAATATAACTCACATTCTTAAATAAAATGCACACTTCCAAGTGCAGGATACAGAGAGTAATAGATTTTAGAGTAATTTGCTACTGAGGGTTACCGAAACCTTCAACATGTATTTTTAAATCAGAAGGTTATAATGGATTTAGAAGGCATCAGATTGTGCAGATTTTGCTAATAAAACTAACCCAAGTATTTCTTCTTTGTGCTTCTAATCTGAATTTTTTCATACCTTAGAAAGGACTACCCCACTTAAATCCAATTTTGTCTGATAATTTAGACAAGAGAAAAACAGAAGCAAGTATTTTGAATAACTACAATTAACTTTTGTGTAATTTTTTTTCAATTTTGTGTATTTTTTTTTCCAATTAAATCTCACAGAGCAACAGCAAGAACAGACAGTGATGTTTCAAAGAGCACAACAGAATTTCTGTTCTTTTAGGATTACCACTGCATTAGTTTTTGCTTGTTTGCAGGGTTTTCCTTCTAAGGAGAAAAGAACTGCTCTTCAAGCACATCTACCTCTAATTTTTTATCAAATATTGTGTGAGACGCACATTTTTTGAGATGATCAGGTCCTTCAGAAGACAAAAAAACCACAAGAATTTTGGGTTTAGGCATGTTTTAACATTTGTAACTATTTGTCATCCAAAGGGTAGTAGCAAGTCATTGCTATTTCGTTTTGAATCTGTTTTGTTTGCTTAATAATAACTATTAAGACTGTCTGTAAAATATGTAATCTAGTTTAACACTGTAAAGCTAGTTTTTAAAAATGGGTAGTTTAAGAATTTAATGCTCAAAAGCTTAAAGAAATACAAAACAGCGTTATATTAGTTGGTAGTTTAGGAAAAAATGAAAATGACATTATCCTACATGTGGTTACTATTCCATGATTATTCCAAATGAGTTCCCATAATGCCCTTTCTAAGTGAAATGAAAAGTGTTCAGTCTTCAGCTCAGACCCAGGGAACAACTGCTGTGAGTAAGGACTGCAATATTTAATTTTATGGAAGGAACAAAAAATGTTCTTTTGGCACACGTGTTTTTCAATTTTGTAAAATAACTTTGAGAGAAAAAATAAGAATGCATGAGAGCACTTTTTAGTAAATTCTAATCTGAAGAAAGTCACATATTCCTAGTGCTATTATATAGTGATTTTTACTCATGGCCTATCAACTATGATCTGCTACAATGACACAAACAAGCAAGAATCTTGTCCTGCTTCAAGTACTTTAAAAATCAATGACCATCCTGTGTTTAACCAGTCATAAAAAAGACAGTTAAAAGCTTGAAAAATTTTAGAAGTTATGCCTACAGCTGCCTTAGTGATAGGCAAGTCTTTTATTTATATCAAAATAATAGCTTTCTCATAACTCTTCCCTTTCACCTTAAGTGGAAACCAATATGTGTAGGTAAGTGGCTGCTTCCACGAATCCCAGAAAGTAACGTCCATGTTTTGATCACACCAGACACATTTCCTACTGTCATTTGGTGGTTTCTCTATAGCAAGGAGATCACCGATGAAATATTTCCCCAAATCTATGGGACATAGCTCAAGCAAGACTAAATACAAATGAGTGGATTCACCAGCTTTGGCTTATTTTCCAGTGCCAGTGTATGTTGCTATGAGCCTCAGGAATATGGCAGCATTCTGAAGTAAGTATAGGAATGAAAACCAAAAATTACATATTTAAACTTTGCCTGAACTGTGTATAACTTCTATGCCAAGGGAGAACAGTAGAGATTCTAATATACAGTCATTATTCATAAACATTGCTTACACTACAAATTCAATTGAACTTGGTAAGGACCTTTTCCTTAAAATGAACAGCAGTAAGGAGAGAATTCTTCCCCACTTTTCTTTTTCAGGCAATTACATATTAAAATTCTTCATTAGGCTTTGTGACGGTGAAGGTTAATGTGGCTTTTATAATTTGAGATGAAATTGACAGCGTCCTTCACTTTTTCTCCACTTTCACCATCCCTCCGCAGTGTGAAAACACAGCAGTCTTCACCACTACAGGCAACATTTAAAGATAGAGGTATCCAACCCAGTAGACCAGGTTAAACAGCAGGAAGGATGTAGGAAAAAAGACCCTAGAGTAAGAGTCCAGTTCTAAGATGTCTATGTGAATCCGTCCTCTCCTCCATGAGCCTGATTTACACTCTTCATAACAACAGAAAAAGCTCTGGCAGTCTTTCCCATCCAGACATTCATAGACACACGCATCTTCAAATTCTTGCCAATACATGGCATTGTTCAATGTGATGACTGTAGTTGGTGGTCTCATATCAAGTACAGAATAATTCTGAGGAGAGAAAAAGAAACCAACATTTTGATAAGCTTCCATGGATGATACAAATCAAAATTAAGAATCCTGAGAAAAAAAAATTTACAGGAGCTGAGAATAAGAGGTTGATACTGTAGGAATTCTAGATCTAGAGAACATCTTTCTTTCCCTCAAAAGTCGCCTTCTCAGCTGAAATTTCCGTTGAGACATTGAGGAGTAGAAAGTTAAATAATTCTAGGTGAATTTCTTGTTTGGGTAACTCAATCTTTTTTTTTTTTTTTTCACACTTAGGAGTTCACTTGCCTGTCAGAATGCTATTGTCAAGTTTCCTTAAACCCTTGCGCTACTACATTTAAGAGTGGATTCTGAAAAATAAGTAATATGTTTCCCCCCATCATTTCATTACAGAACAATCTCCAGCTACTATAGTTTCATTTACTGCCTTTGAACTTTACCATAATTTATAAAAACAGATATGGTCAACAGGTAGTTATAATTTCAGTACAGGATTTCAAAACGCCATCCCTAGGCATTGTGCCCTTTAGTGTGTATGGCACTAACCATGCTCAGAAATAGGACATTTTGATATCATGCATCCTCACAGCACTACTCACTCCTACAGACCTTTTCTTCTTCAATATACTCCCTATTTGCACTTTGTCAGCTTTTCTATCACACCATTTCCTTTTCATGATAGGTGCTTTCTTACAACAGTCTCCTCTCTCATCAAGCCAGCCATTCTATCCTCACAAATGTCACTTCCTCTACCGGCATGTACTGTCCCATCAGATTCACGGCCTGTCTGCACCATGCTGACAAAGCAGACTCCAGCCCTGCCAGTGCAGTTTTTTCTACCTCAGGGGTCCTTCCTCTCCCTGTGATTGCACTGAGCATTGCCTCTGCCTGCAGGAGCATGCTGGGTGTCCATTAACAATCTAGTCATACCTCTGCTTCATGCCTGCATGCATTCTGCAGGACGATCTGGGCCTCTGCTTCCACACTTACTATATACAAAGTACTTAGAATTTCCTGTTGCGGGTGGTGGGGTGCATCTGAAAACTTTCACTTTGGATGTGAAGCAGATCAGAAATAGGACTGATGTGCCATGGTGGAAATTTTCCTTTTTCTGTTGACTTCATTTTCTTTCTACAAGCCCCTTGGTTTGGCCCACTATACTACTACCCATTTCATTAAAAATGCTGATCTCTGAGCTAAGAATTTGATGTGGTATCCTTCTGCTTAATGTTGGCATCTTCAACACAGTTAACTACATCTGAGCAACTGTCCTATGGTATCCAGCCAATTACTTCTAGGACTCAGTTCATCTCATCATAAGTAAATGGCTAAAATCTCATAGGTGCGTTGTGCTGTGGACTGTAAATATATTGCCATTTGGAAGCAGATTATTCCAAATCTATTTGTTGTGAATGACTTTATATCTGAGATTAGATGACAGAAATTACACCCTCATGGTCTTCTCTCTCATTTGTGAAGTTTCAAGTGGCTGATTTCGGAGGTTTACAGTATGCTATACACAGAAAAGGCTAAGATTATTGCACAAGCAATCATTTTTTGACTGCAGCACTTTGGAGAGAAAAAAAGCTATGACTAAAGAGTACATGGAGTTCTGCTATACCACTGTGGCACACATTGTTCATTTATTTCAGTCTTTTATGAAAATTTCCTACTCAGGGACTGAAATTTTCTATGCCTGGCTATAATTTATAATAAAAAGAAGGTTAAGTTAGACCTCTCCAGATGATTTGGTAAGTGAAGATAAATAAGTGCCCTGGTGCTGAAAAGGAAACTTTCTCATATGTCAATAGCCTAGGTTTTTTGTTTTTTTTTTTTTGTTATTGTTTGATCAACTATCTGCTCATGACAGAAGAGAAAATAAATACCGTGATTAATTTGATTGCTCGTAGGGGTACTGAAGTGACTAGATACAAGGTGAAGGTGGGTGGTACCCACTGAGTCCTGTGCGTCTTGCTAAGCTGCTCTTGGGAGGAAAGGGATGTACAGGCAGTAAGCACCATCCCAGTACCCAGCACTGAAATAAAATTATTTCAGACAAGATATAAGTGTGGAGGTTTCTCTAGGAGAAAAACAAGGGTTGGGATTATCTGAGCATGGATTTACTAAGATTAATAAATTTCACCTTTTAGGTGGCATCACTACAAGTCTGGAAAGGAGAAGATGATATCTTGAGCATCAGAGATATATGCAGGTTGTGTTACACTTTGAACATGGAAGTTGTTTATGTATAGGAGAGGGCCCAGCTTGATCTTATACTGACAAAAAAGAGAGAGAGAGAGAGGGAGAGGGAGAAGACGGAAAGGGAGGGGAGGGAAAAGGAAGAGAGTTTGGAGAGGGATAAGGAAAAGGAAAAATAAGAGGAAGATGGAGGGGGAGAGGGAAATGGAAAAGGGAAGGGGAAGGGCTTGCAAAGGCTGCAGATATTTTCCAAGCAGATCAGATTGACTAGATCTAGCCAAAGACTAAGTGTTAAACCCTATTGTCATTTTAATTGTGTATCTTTTCCATTATTTTTTTTAATTGGAAAAAGGAAACTACTGCTATCCAGTCAATGTGCCTTATTAACTTATTCTTTCGCATAAGTCTGTCCAGGGAGTGACAGCAGTAGTGAGTGTACAAATGCAATGCTTGCTGTAAAACCGCTCATTGTCAATGAGCAGATTTTCAATGCTATAGAGCTCTTTAAATACATCAGAAAACTCATGGCAAAAAAAAACCAACCAAAACTGAAAATAAAGTCTAGAACATTATTTGTTATAGAGCCAGCAGTTGTAAATGAAAAGCTTCAGCATATTCAAATCAAGAAATGCAAAAGCAATGTTTCATTTCTGTCCCTGTTCTTATTTGGACCTAGTAACTAGGAATCAGGCCACCCAAGCAGCTAAGTAACTAGCCCTCTATATGCTTTTATATATATTAGTATGCATTGCAGTTTCACATTTCATACAACTGGGAGACACAATTTGGTGCTCAATTTCAGTTTTATCACTTCTATATGTACACAGACAGTTATATGGAGGCTTCAGAAATAGAATTTATTGCATTTTTAGATACAGTACAACTAACTGTGTTAAACTTGTGTGCCCAAATAATTTGAAAATCCACCTGAAATCTTACTAAAGATTTTACAGATATGTATAAATGAATTATTTTTCATGAAACTTACTTAAAACTCCATGTAGGTTTGTGACATAACTTGTGCTTACTACTTTTTTCTATAAAATGTAGTGAGAAACTGCAGTATTGTATAAAGCAGACACAGAATTTCTGGGGCAAAAATAATATGCAATATTATACACTTGAACCTTCTCTCTCCCAAATAATTTGATAAGTCCTTATCGAAAGAGGCAGCTATGTTCCTCTGCAACAGCCAAAACCAAACTGACTTTTTAACTAAAAAAGTAAAGCAATATTTATAGAAAAGTCAGGGTAAAGCATAACAGCATTACAGCTTTCTCCAGAATTATCGCAAGTAAATGTCAACCATACATTCATGCCTCCATTGCTTTCACTGAATAGTTTACTTACCATCACATGGCCAAAACTGACATCAGGTAGCTTAAAAGAAGATAACAAAAGAATTATTCAGAAGGAAACATTACTTCATATGCATCTAATGTTCAATAGCGTTTTTTAAACCTAGTATTTAAATGCATTTGTCCATAAAACACTTCATGCTGAATATTCTGTATATTCAGAGTAATATCTATACACTTTAAAATTGCATGAAACTTCAGTAGAATGCACACTTAGTTTCCACCTATTTTAAATATTTATTGTACCCATTAGATTAATTACTTAGCAAAATATGTTTTAATTACTTAGCTAAATATGTGTTGATTCTTACATTAATTTAAATCTCATCATTGTTGCATGCTTCCTTGACATGTCTAGAGATACATCCTATTCACAGAGACTTATGACTTTTTCATTCAGTCTTTCTATAATTTTAATTTCATCATTAGCAAGTTCATTTTTGATGGCCTCATACTTTTCTTTTGGCAATAGTCTATTGCCTTTTGTGAGCAATGCATTCTTACAAGATACTATTGGAGGTTCGATGGAAATTTCATTAACTAAGTCAAAGGTTTCCTAGGTTTTCTCTAATTTCATATTTATATCAGCTTTTCCTTCATTAGTTCCTCATTCAATTCTTTTGTATAGATCTTCATCTAACCCTTTTACTTCATGATCTATTATTCCCTGAAATTAGCCTTCTCTTTCTTCAATTTCTACCTTAAGATTTTTCCTGATTTCAAATGTTCTCATTTCCTTCATTACACAAAATGGCATCCAACATGTCCAATTAATGTTCTCAAACACAATAGTTTCCACTGCTCTTGAGTAGACAATCCACTTCCCCTTCCCTATGTTTTCACTGAGATTTTTTTCTCCATTATCCTGCCCCTTGTTATCCTCATAGTCAATTATAAAGTACACCAGGCAATTCTTTCTTCGCATGATTGTTTTAACTGATTCTAAATAAACAGCTTTTGGGGGGCATCTGAATGTTACTCCTCGAAGTGTCTTTTTGGTCCAAAATGTAGCTATGTACAAAATTTTTATAAGTGGCCTCTGTTTCTGTACTTGGGAATAAGCTCCTTTGTGCATAGGGCTAAAAATAAGTCCTGGTTCCAAGTGGAAATATTGAAATGTCATTTGCAAAGTCCATAAGTATTTCTAGACACGTTAAGCTGAGAAATAGCAGATCCATTTGAATATACATTGATGTGCATATGTTTGTATAACAAGCTTTGCAACCTGTTTCAGTGGGAGTCCTTTATGACATACAGACAAAAGACCTGTAGGCTGGGTTGTTGCTTCATGGTCAGCAGATTGCTTCAGTTAGGAACAGACCACTCAACTAGCACATAACTGATTCTGCTGTTGCTGTGGGCAACTATTTTCTAGCAGCTTTTAGAGCAGATCACACCATAAACGGATAAGAACTCAAAGCAGCAGAGTATCACAGGATTACAGGCTGCCATTGAATGATTGTGTGCTCTCTCAGCCATGCACATGCTAGAAAAGAAATTTAAATGTGGCCATCTTACCGACTTTTTCTTCTTAGTACAGTTTGGTTTCCTGCAACTTGAGTAGTAGTTGAGGGCTGCATACTCCATCAGAGCAGCAAAGACAAATAGAAAACATACAGTGACAAACAAATCCATAGCGGTGACATAGGACACACGGGGTAATGACTTTCTTGCAATGGTGCTCAAAGTTGTCATGGTCAATACAGTTGTGATGCCTGCAGAGAGAAATCAGATTTAGTTGTATGCAGCATTTTTCCATGTTGCAGAAGAATCTTTGGAAACAAAGAAAAATCACCCAGAAATCCAAACTGAATCCAAATAATTCATTAATTTCATTTGGTAATATGAAAAATTACATCATTAGAGGCAGTAGTATTTTGTAAACAAAATTTTCCTCAGCTGTTTCTATTCATCTTTACAAAAGTGACATAAATATCCTGAAAAAATATAACCAGTCCTAGAATGAAATCTATAGGATGTCAGTTATTTGGCTGCTAGTACTTCATATAGTTCCTCTTCATTCCTGAGTAATAGAAGCATTTTCATTCCCCCTTTGGACTGATACTTCATCATTTGTTATGAATGGCAAGCCTTCTGATAGAAAAAATATAGAATTCCTCAATGGCTCAGGAAGAAAAATAAAGCTCTCACTCAAATATGTCTCAAGAGAGATCCTGCTCTAGAGCCAAAATAATCATAAGGTAATCTTTCTCTTTATGGTTAAAGTGATATTTAGCAATGATACACAGTGTTTGAAATGACAGAGGATGACTGAAATTATGCCTTATAGAAAAATTACTTCCCACAAACAGCACTCTGGAGAGGAAAAAGTATCTGTGTATTACTTTTGACTACGTTATGTTTGTGAAGGAATGCCCACCTCTGATTTGTAGTGTTTGATATAAACTACAGCGATTCACATGAATAACCCTCCCCATTAAAACCATTAGAAAGTCCCTGAAAAAGGCAGAAGGCAGATTATTGCCTGGGCCTCAGCCTTCTTGTTCAATGAATAATAAATTGTAAACAAAATCAAACCCCAAACAAAGAAAGAAACAACAACAAAAAAAGTTGCTGCAAAACTCCACAACCCAATAATCAAGATGAGATTAATGCTGATAGGAAGTAGGAAATGTGGGCTTTGCATGTACCTTCAACATCTAAAAGCTATTGGGAAAATATTTCTGTTTCCTGTCATCTGTGCTACCTTCCAATATAAGCGTGTGGTTGCCAAGGTCCAGCATCCTCTCCAGACCCCTCACCATCAGTTCTGTCGCTAGCTGATGCTTTGAAAAAGCTGCAGAGGCAAACCCCATCCTCGGCCACTCATAGTAGTCATCTGCAAAGATGTCCAGATGCAAAAGGTGTTGATTTACTAGCCTAGATTTGGCCCTTGCTAGCTATAGGTCAATTAGTTTTCTGTGTGACCTTGACTCAGACCTTGGGAGTCACTAGCTTCAGAAGAACTGTACCCAGACTATGACATAGTCTACAATATGAAATTAAGTTCTTTAACACTTTCTAATACAAATCCATCCTTTTCAGAGCCATGTGCACATGCACCTGCTCTCAGGTATTTTACTACCTTAAAAAAAATTCCTCAAAACCTTTAGTTTTTTTTCCAGCATGATAAACAGTGTCTTTTTACGTGATCTCAAGGGAAAGCTTTTATTTCCTTCTCACCCCATGATAGGCTCTCATATTACTTTAGGACACTTTTTAATTAAAAGGCTAACAAAGATCTACAGTTTTTCTACTGACTGTTGTATTTACAATGTAATATTTTTCTGGAGGTATAACTTTGTATTATTTGGGACAAGAAGTACTGTGCAGGTATCTGTAAGGACAAACAGATCCCAGAGTGACTATGGACAGGAAGGCAGAGAAATTGAAATAAAATTACCATTAATCTCTGTGCTTAAACGTATGAAAGTCCTCAACTTGAGTCCTATATCTGTTCCTTAAGCCTGAATGTGAATGCCTGCCTGCATTGTGCTTGACAATGTGAAAACCTAGAAGCTCTGAGTGAGAACTAAACCAGCTCAGTAAGTCATGTTGTAGATGCCTCACTAATACAGAATCTAGGAGGTTTGAGTGGTTCTGGACTAATTTTGGTTGATTTAAACAAAGTAGGTTCTATTAAATTTATAGAAATAACAACGGTGTAAGATTTATTTTGGTTTTCAGTTATTAAGAGTGTCCACCTTCAGTCTCTTTGGCAGCAAAACATATTTGTTACAAGAATATAAAACCTTGGGGAAAGGAAAGTTTAGCATTATCACAACCATTGTAGTTTCTGGACTATAAATCATATTTTGAATTATGACAGGGGCATGAGATAAGATTGCTGAATGCTAAGACAGGAACATCCAAGAAGCAAAGAGCAAAGAGAAAGTTGGTGTACCAGATGGTACAGTTTTGTATTCCTATACACTTGCCAGCTGGAATATAGATACGCATTTATGAATAAAATGCAGCACCCATTATTTCCGAGGAGAATATCTACATTCCATGCCTGTAGCTCATTTTCTCTCTGAAGCTAAGAGAATTCAGTTGCTCAGTGGTTTCAAACGCAATAAACCTTGCCAGATGAAATAGTTAAGTCTCTCACTTTGAGGAGGACTGTATGGCAAAGTGAGGTTTGTGTCTGTTACTGAAGTTCACAATGCTCATGAACTGTCTATTTCAACAGAATTTTATATCAGGTAAGCACAGATTTAAGTAACCTGGCTTAAAAATTTTCAGGTAGACAACTGTTAAGTGGGAGCTTCCAAGTTTGTGTATAAATACCATTTTGTGACATTTATGTTCTCTGAACAACTTCCATACCAAAGATGCTATTTGGTAAGTACAAAAGCACTCTCTGGGAGATCAGCTGATGCAGGGATACATAATGCATGAAAACACTTTAAATCCTAAACAGTTATTCAAAATTAGTTTGAAAGCTGCTACCTGGACAACCGTATGCAAAATGAGGTAGCAGGAGCTTCAGTGTTAGAAACTGTTTGGTCACTGAGGCTTATTTTTGCCTATTTTCCTAATGGTATGTTTGTGGGACACTGGAGGAAAGGCCTGCTGCTTTTACTCACGCCATCATTTGTTTAAAAACCTAATTTCTCCACCAGCTCTGGGACATGTTTAGAGCACTTGCTTGGTGTTCTAGTGAATGAGCTTAAGATGGAATGGCAATGAAGCAATATTCATCTTTTATTAAACATGATCTGTATCTTATTTTACATCAACACATTGCTGGCCTTGATACTCACTTTTTATTTAAACTGCAGTTTGAAGTTGCTCTTTAGTAACTGCCTAGTCCTATTACATATTATACCCATTTTGAAAAAGTAGGGAGAAACTGGGATGAAAGCTTCAGTTTAACTTAATTCCCTTCATCTTCAAGGAAAACAACCAATTATTATTTTCCAGATCATGACTTTTCTTCAGATACTTGCCGGCTGGTCTTGACTATGAACATTGGGAAAATATACTTTTGATTACTACAGACAAGCAGAAACAGCAGTGAGCCTATTTTTTTATTTTTTATTTTCCTCTTTGAATGGAGGGCAGAATAAGCTGCAATTACAAAACACAGTTCTCATCCAATACTCAAATTCTATTTCCAGTTTCCCACTGACTCTTCAGGTGGCCTAGAATGAGTCACATTGCCACTTTGGGCATCAGCTCCTCAAAGTGCATGTTAAAAAGGGACTATGATGACAAGTTTTTAAAAAGCACTTTGATAAGTCTGGACAGTGCTGATGAAAGGATACTTATGGTCCCATTTTTTCCTTCCCAGCCAAATACCCCGACTGTTGAGGTTTTTGTCCAGCACAGAAATAGCTTATTACTTAGTGTTATTCAGAAAGGGGTGAAACCTGTCCTTCATATAACTGTGAGTAGCTGCCAATAGCTTTGGAAATTACTCATTAATTTCAGAGAATGAAATATTTCCCTGATGCTAGCCCTTTATATTAATGCAGCTACACTTGGAGCAGGTTGGGGTGCACTGAGCCTACAATTAATTTCAACTAATTAGCAGAACAATTTCAGTGGTTTGCCCTTGGCTGTATTACAGTTTTACCATGTGCCACTATCCAAATGTGGATGTGTGCTATTGCTCAGACAGATTTGTAAGTTGCATTATATTAGCAGACCTACAATAACCTGGGAACATCTGATAACTGCAGCCCAAGAGTCAATAGTCAGTCTGGTAACAGTCAGCCCAGGAGTCATTGACAGTTTGGGAGCAGCACAACTCTGGGCACAAAAAGAGGTGACCCATGTACATATTATTTATTAAAAAGTTATACTTTAGCCCAGTAATTTAATACTTCATCAGAGTTTTAGAAGGTAGTCATGATAGCCATTCAATATAACCTTGGAACATTTCATCTTAATGTTCATATTTCGAGATCATGACCTCAGTATATGAATACATTTTTTGTCTGAAGCTCCTGCTGGATGACGGGGCAAGGCAGGGAAAGTCATACTGCAGTGACTAGTGATCTAGCCTATTTCTGTGTCTAATTAATTGGAAATCAGAGCTGTGTGGTGTGGGGAACCACCCTCAGGGACAGGGTACAAACATTGCTTATGAAAAATCAGTAATGCAAACTCTTAAATCCTTTTCTCCCTTTTCTGCTATGCGTTAAGAAAGATAACCCAAATTGATGCTGTGTGACTCTGCACAAACATAGGCTTCAGACTTTATTTAAAAGATGAAGCATGGTCAGTCTTTCCTTATCTCCACTGGGACACTGAATTTAAGAAGAAAGCAGTTCATCAGATTATGCTAAAGGCCTATTGCTCAATTTTCTGGCCAGGGAGGCAAGTCTACACAGCCAGGAACAGGCATTTTTTCAGGTGCTCTGTCCTCACCTTTGTATAGTCTTTTGAGCTGTCCTGGGGGGTAGATGGGCATCACAGAATAATTCTGTCTTAGGGTCTGTCATGTTGCTGGGGCCACAGTGTAGGGCACTTTGGCACTCACATAAAGGGAGTGAGGACTGAATACTTCTTTATTGGAAAATAACCGGAGACAACTGGACCCACATGATGTCACATGACTTACAATGGTCAGAAGTGCTACGCTTGTTAAATTTACAGACTTCTGGAGAAAATCCAGCAGGTTATGCTCTTGTGCTGACCTCACACAAAATGGGTTTTAAGCAAGAAATATGTATAAAGTGTGAACCAGATTTGGCTGCTTGCAGTCATCATATTACAGGGTCTCTGAGACTTTTATTTCTACAGCTCCAGGTCACTGATCTGCTCTTGGTTTGGAAGGATGCCCTGTGTCACTCACTAAGAATTAAAGCTGATACGACCTTCCATCAGGAAGATGCCTAAGGATTGATAGTAGGAACGGCTGGGATATACCTTCATTGCTTAAATAAAGCTGTGGCTAATGAGGAAGTTATGCTTAGAAGATAATTTGGTAATATATTTCTTCTATCATTCAGCTGAAAGTTACTAAATAATTGAAGCATTAGAAGTTTTGGGAGGAATAATGTTTGTTACCTAGGGCTTAGTGCACCCTGAATAGATGACTGCATGATTTTTGCATGAGTGAAAAACTTACAAAGGGGGATGAGACTTCCAGACAAGTTCAAGACACTTAGCCACTAAAATCTCATTCAGAATGAGTGGAGTTTAGAGGGTTTTTTAGCACTTCATTTTCCTTTTCCCCTTCAGGGCTTTCAGGAACTTTATGCTAGAAACCACAGCACCCTCAGGATGGGTGGTTGCTCAGATTTATTAGTGCAGGAGAGAGACAGAAACAGGACAAGTAATTTTGTACAACTGTATAAAGGCTGTGAAGGCTGTATTGTCAAAGCTTCCTCTTGAGATGAAGTAGAGCATCTCTACATGGTGTTTGAAAGACATCTAACAGAAATGGATTCACGTATAAGTAACTACTATTTCTAGCAAATGCTACTTGTATGAAAAAGGATGGGTAATACCAATGACTCTTGAACAGCTGTATACGGGAGTGGGAAATAGAGGTGTTTGGTACAGATGGCCTCTCCTATACTATAGTTGAATGATGGCTTGTTGGCACACAGCAGCACTTGAGAACACTGTGCTTGCTGCACGCTGCCTCCAAAGAGATATAGCCTGTTCACAGCCCTTGTCCTTCAGTCATTCCTTGCAACAGTATCACCCTCTCAAACCTGGAGACTCATTTGCTCCTACAAATGCTTCCTATCTGATTTCAGTCCAAAAAAAGGCAGGTCAGATTTTAATAATATATTCTTTAGAAATGAAATTATTTAGACAGTCTAGCTGGTTAACTGAAGATGGTAACTCCTGCAGGAACAAGGAAAGGATAGCTGGGAATGTTAAACTCTACACTTGAAAACAGGCGTATAAACCTTGACATAGTTTCCTCTTTTTCTTAAACTGGTAGATTTGTGACTGAGTTATTGCTGGCAGCCCTGGCAACCACAGTCTGAACTAAAATGTTAGTTTTCCTTTGGTTCTGCTGTATGCCTCTTATATAGCCCTATGCCCTTGATGTTGTCAAAGCATACAGGTTTTCCTATTGGCATACGAACAAAAGGTCAACATTTCTAAGTGTATCCTAAAGCATAATTACAAAATACACACATTTGTCCTGACATATATGAGCTGCTGGAAAACTTATACCAGCATAAATCTCCAGAGTCTATGAAAATTATCTATACACCTAGAGTGGAGCTTAAATTCAAGAGCACAAGCTAGAACACTTTGTCTGAGTTAATATTATTATATCCCACAGTTTTATGTATATATAAGTCATAATGCCCTGTGGGGAAGAGTTTCAGAAGGGAATGAAACCAGCAGTGCAATTAGTTTATTCTTCCAAAATGTCACTAAAATATCATAGTGAGAAGAAGGAGACAGCCACTAATTCTCGAATATTATGCTAGTGTCATTCCAAAGGGTCAGAATAGTTTACTCTTAATTATTCTATTAAAGGCAGAAAACCAGAGGCTTCAGTGGTAAATGTGGGTCTGCAAGCTGCGGTAACAATAATCTGAAGCATATAGTCAATTGTGTCTTTGGTGTCAGTGGTGTCTTTGCTGACATTTTCAAATGATAGTGAAGGAACTACACAAAAAGGGCAGGAAAGGGAATTATTAACAACTTACCTAATGCTGTTCTTGCTGGTGTGGCATCTTTTTTAATCCAAAAGGATACCCAGGAAAGAACAACTGTTAATATACAGGGAATGTATGTTTGAATAGTGAAGTATCCCATTCTTCTACTTAAGTCAAAGTATATAGTCATGACTACATAATCACCTGCAATGACAGCACAGAAAATAAATATACATTTTGGTGAGATACAGAAAGTTGCTCCGTGACCTGTTAATTTTTTAAAATTCATAAAAACTGCATACAAAATATTTCTTAATGTTTTGAGAATTTTTTACAGAAATGCTCACATGAAATAGAATTTAAATAAACTTTTCCATTCTAATTTCCTTTAGTTTTAGGTGCTTGTGGAAATGTTGATCTATTTGGACAAGCAGAATCTCTCAGTAGTCATTCTTGATGAGTAAATTTTTGAAAGGCATCTTGAATTTCAAGACTTGTCATTTCTGAATGGCTCCATGGCCACATCATTTACGGGATTCCGTATCCAAACTGCACAAAAATCTGTCCTTCTGTAGGCTATGTTTTCCCTGCCTCAGTTTCAGGTTTGAGTGATTTCTGTCATCTTTTGATATACAAATCAGGCAGTAGCGGTCTTTATGGGAAGTGTAGAATGCACATGAGTATGGCTTTACATAAGTTATCTGTAGACACAAGTTCACCAGAATCTGCATGCTTGAAAGAATTAATAATCACAAATCAAGAGTCTCTTTTTCTCAGCATTCCTCTATTTCAAAGCAGTTGTCACTTTTCGTATCTAAAACCTTCAGAAGGTGAGTCTGGATATAAAGTTTATTATTCTACTGTAAAAAGAAAATTAAAAATTACTAATAATAGTAAAAATCATAAAATCAAGAACTCAGTGAGAAGACTAGTTTGTCTCACATTATATGTTTTTTTTTTCCATAGTATGTCTCTTGGTAACCCTTGTGACTCCACAAGCCATAATAATCTGTCCCTCTCTCTCTACTCAGTAGAGGCTACTGACCTTATCACCTTCCTTTTTTACTGACAGCTCCCTCAGCTTCATAACGTTAACTATCCTCTTCTCTCAGACAGTCACAGTGATTAACAGTAATGAAACTGAACAGAGACCAATTTTTGTACTTTGCTTGAAGTATGTTACTTTCATTTCAGATATGAAAAAGAATTTATATGCCTGAGAACTTTTATGGGGTTTTGTTTGATTATGTCAGACATGACCTAATAAATTATATTGTTTTTTGTTACAAGCTTTGACTTTATAGAATATAATATTTGAAGAAGTCATGTGCAATATGTAAGTAAGTCTGTCCTACCACAACAAAATATCATGAGACTGAAGAAATTATTAGCATAGAAAGATGCATCTCCCAAGGAATGTACACGCAACTCACCCCAGTAGAGGCATACTGGGTTTATTAGATGTGGCTAATTAAAGCTTAAACTTCTAATAACAGACTGCATATGAACCAATGCATTTAATACAGTAGATATTTTGACTATAGCTAAATATTGCATAGAAAAAAAATTAATTCAGTAAGACTAACTTCTTCCATCCAAAGAATCACTGAAGGCCACTGTTAAATGAGTGAACTACCATAAGCTACAAACTAAAATGTAAATAAAAATCTGAGAGTGGGATGTGGAGAGAGAAACTTAGAACTGTGAATCAAAGGGAAATGTTCCTATGCATTAAGTATATTGGTTTGAGATAGATCTATTTGGAAGAGGTTGATAAGCCTGTGGGTGGTTCCATCATGCCTCTGTTAGATGAATGTGCACATTTTCACAAGTACTGTGCCAATGAAAAGCATGTGACCCCAAGATGTTGAACTGACATTTCATAAACCTTGTCTATTTGGCGCTATGGAACAGAATGGTTGGTTCTGCTGGCTTATTGTTAGACTGCATCAGCTCCCTAATGTGTTTTGCTGCACTAGAGAAAGTCTTACACCACAGCAAATGAGATAATTTCATAGAAATAAGCATAAGAAGTCAGAGGCTGTGTAAGCCAGTGCTTCTACTGACAGTAAACAACCCAACAACCATGGGGAAAAAAGTTATGATAGTGTTTCAAACATTGTTGGTCAAAGCAAAAAAAGGAAAACAAAGAATCAATGGAAACTGTGCGAAATATTTACATTTCCCTTAGTTATTGTATCTAAAAATGCTTGTCTACAAATAAGTTACTTGAGAATAGTACAAAGCAAAACAATCAGCAAACTTCTCACTGTGTACAATGATATATGATACATATAATTCAAGTTCATAGACAGGTCACTGCTCTTCTAAGTAATATGATCGTGATACCCAGCACAGCAAATGGGAGTAGGGCTAGATACTGGACAGTAAGATACTGGGAAAATAAGGAGGAGTCCCTGCTTGCACAGTCTTCAACTGGAATAAACCTGGCAAACTGAGAATGGGAGGAAATTATGGCACATTTCAACTGTTTTGCAGACAGGAACTGAGGCAGAAACTAAATGATGTAGAGAGTCCATCATCACATTTAGCCATGAACTGATTCAGTATCTTTTAGGCAGGGTTAATTTCCCCCCATTTTAGACATCTAGAAGGTAGATTCTACAGGTGACTTGCACACTGTGGACTCTTTTGTCATTAATGAAGAGAAATCGGTACTTTCAATATATGGCTTGTCTGATCTCTTTTAGAGATACATATTTGTCATGGTTTAAGCCCAGCTGGCAGCACAGAACCATGCAGCCGCTCGCTCACTCCCCACCCCCCTTCCTCTCCCACCTCCCAGAGGGATGGGGAGGAGAACTGAAAGAATGTAACTCCCACGGGTTGAGACAAGAACAGTCCAGTAATTAAGATATAACAAACCACTGCTGCTACCACCAATAATAATAATGAAAAGGGAAATAACAAGGGAAGAGAATACAACCACTCACCACCCACCAATTGACACCCAGCCTGACCCGAGCAGTGATCTAGCCCTTCTGGATAACTGCCCCCAGTTCTACATCCTAGGCATGACGTGCTGTGGTATGGAATACCTCTTTGGTCAGCTTGGGTCAAGTGTCCTGTCTCTGCTTCCTCCCGGCTTCCCCTCCTCCCTGGCAGAGCATGAGGCTCACAAAGTCCTTGGTCAGAGTAAACATTACTGAGCAACTAAAAACATCGGTGTTATCAGCGCTGTTCCCAGGCCGAAAGTCAAAAGCACAGCACTGCACCAGCTACTAAGAAGGAGAAAAATGACTGCTACTGCTGAACTCAGGACAGCTTTAGAAAGAGGTGAATGCACCCAAAACACTTCCATTTCTCTCTTGTGATTGAAAAAGGAGTACATTTGGCTCAGATGTGGACAAAGACATTATAGACACATGAAAATGATCCAAGAAGTCAATCACACCCCTTGATTCAATGGTGAAAGCTAACAAGTGCTACTTCTGTAGGGTGTTAAGGTTATTTTACCTAAATATAATAATCTCCTTAGTCTTTTGAAGAGTATTTTAGTTATTGTCCTCCTTTGTTTCATGGTTAAACTTGATCCCTTCATCCTTGAGGACATGCACAACTCCTATGCTTGCTCCTCTGTTCTCCATCTTTTCCTTCCTTCCTTCCTTCCTTCCTTCGTTCCTTCCTTCCTTCCTTCCTTCCTTCCTTCCTTCCTTCCTTCCTTCCTTCCTTCCTTCCTTCCCTCCTTCCCTCCTTCCCTCCCTCCCTCACTTCCTTCCTTTCTCTCTTCCTTCCTCCCTTTCTCTCTTGTCCCTCTGTTCCTCCCTCCCTCCTGTCTGTCCATCTCTCTCCTGCCATTTATAACATCAAAACTTTTCATCTTTACTGCAGAACATCCTTCCATCAAGCTAAATAAGGGAACTGTGACTTAGTCAAGTTTTACAAGGAGCTGCAAATTCCCAAATTATCCAACAAAGACCCATATATGCCTTACATGTGCTCAATGAATATGAAATCCTAGCACACTAAGTGGCTACATTAATTTAGCCACTAATCTATTTTATTGACTGAGGCCCATACAAAAATTCTCACAGTAAAGAAGGTAGACCCAGTCATACAGGCAGCAGCTGTGCATATTGACTTAAATACTGTACATTGTGTGCTGTACTCTAATTTATGGAAATATGCTGATGGATAGTATAGAAAGAAGTTGGGAGAACAATTCGGTTCAGTGGAATTATTGATGCAAAGTGGAAGTAAAAGGAGAATTTGCTGGTTCTCCTATAGTACTCTAACCATGCTTAGAGGGGATGCAACTCAGAGACAATGAATGCTGATGACAATGCTTTGTGAGAGGGGGAAATTACCACTGCTGAAATGCAGAGCCCCAGCTAGAAGCACCAGTGTTGTGACTGCTCTCAGAGGCAAGCGTATACAATACATTTCTGTACAACATGTGCTGAATGCATTTTTTAATAGCTATAATAAATTATAATTTTCAACCGTATTACCACTTCATTTCTTCTACCCTCAGCCAAGTCAACTTCTGATTAGATTCCTGAATTGTCTCTTTGCATACAGAAGGGCCTACACGTATGTGCTGTGGCTATTTTCCTCACTGCAGTACTCCAAACTGCATTATTAATACTATAATTATTATTGTTGTCTAAAAGACTCCTTTCAGAATTAATTGTTCTATATATATCTAAAATCACTTCTCTGCAGCTTAAAGGAAGGTAGGCTCTGTACATACATTTCTGAGTTTTTCTATAAACACAAAATAATTTTTATAAAGAAGCTCTCCTCTCATCTAAAAGACCTGACCTACAATTTATCATTCTATATGTCCTGCGGGCATGAGCAAGCCAAAGGAAAGAAAAATCTCTCAAGAACTCTGCACAGTGCTTCCTTGCTCCTTTGCCAGCCTTCTGAGCTCTACCTGCCATCACTGCCACTGCTAGGAGAGGAGCTGGGACTGATTGTGCAGCAAAGCCCTGCAGCGCAAAAAGATGGGAAAACCTCCTTCCAAAAGGCATATCAGTAAATCAGTGTACTTGGTTTAAAAGTAATCACACAGTGATTGAATAGTAAGGGACCACTGGAATAACTAATGCCACTTTGAAACCCAGAGAGGTGTTCTATTTTTTAACAGCTTAACTAATTTCACTGGAAGGCAGAATAACTTAACTGCACCAGCAGGCCATCAGTTCACTGAAATAAATTAAAATTACTCTGAGACAAAA